TAAGTGAATAGAATGTACAAAATAGACACGTATTTTGGGAGAAACGCAGGGTACGGGGGATAGGGAGTGCTGGGGAAATAGCTTATGAAGGTTTTATTATTATTATTATTATTATTATTATTATTATTTGTCATGGTAAAAAACGTAACATAAGCATACCACCTTAATCATTTCTAAGATTACGACAGTTGTGCAACATATTTCTAGAATCCTTTCCTCTTGCAAAACAGGAACTTGTAACCATTGAACAACAACTACCACTTCCCCCACTAGGTCAGCCCTGGCAATCACCATACATTCTGTTTCTATGGGTTTCACTTCTCTGGGCACCTCACTGCATCGAGTTTGTGTCTTTTCTGTGGCTGCCTCATTTCACTCAGCATCATGGCCTCAAGGCTCACCCATGGTGTTGCCTGTGGCAGAATTTCCTGCCTTTTAAAGTCTTAATGATATCTCATTGCATCTGTACACCACATCTTCTTTCCTCCTCATCTGCTGATGAGTACTTGGGTTGTTTCCAGCTCTTTGCTCTTGTGAATAATGCTGCAATGAACACTAGTGTGCAAATATCTCTTTTTTTAAAAATATATTTTATTGATTTTTTACAGAGAGGAAGGGAGAGGAATAGAGAGTTAGAAACATCAATGAGAGAGAAACATTGATCAACTGCCCCATGAACACCCCCTAGTGGGGATGAGCCCGCAACCAGGGTACATGCCCTTGGCCAGAATCGAACCCGGGACCCTTCAGTCCACAGGCCGACGCTCGATCTACTGAGCCAAAATGGTTAGGGCTGCAAATATCTCTTGAAGATCTTATTTTCAATTCTTTTGGGTATTCATAAGTGGGATTGCTGGATCATATGGTAGTTTGTTTTTTTTTTAACCTCCACACTATTTTTCATAGCGGCTACACCATTTCATATTTCCACCTGCATTGCAGAGGTTCCAATTCCTCCATATCCTTGCCAACACTTGCTATTTTTTTTCGTTTTGCTTCATTTTTTCCCCCAAGTTGGGCCTTTATTAGAGACATGTAAGCGTTACATTACCTAAGGATAAAAGAGGTAAGCATGGCTAATTCATCTTGATTTGCTCCGTTTTTGATGGTGGCCATACTGATGGATGTGAAGTGACTTCTCATTGATGTTTTGACTTGTATTTCTCTGATGATTAGGAATGTTGACCATCTTTCCACAGTTTTCTAGCCAGTTGAATATCTTCTTTGGAAAAAATGCCTAATTCAAATTCTTGGTCCATTTTTGAATAGTTTAAATTTTTCAATATGTTTTTATTTATATTTTTTAGAGAGAGATGAAGGGAGGGAGGGAGAGAGTGAGGGATACACCCACGTGAGAGGGAAACATCAATTAATTGGCTGCCTCCTGTATATGCCCTGACTGGGGGGTCAAACCCACAACCTGGTTATGTGCCCTGACCGGGAATCGAACCGGCGACCTTTTGGTGCATGGGACGACGGCCAACCCACTGAGCCGTACCAACCGGGCAACTCAGACTTCCTTTTCTTTCCCTCCACACAGGGTTCTCTGAATAAATCCCAGCCAGACAGCCGCCTAGAGCACCTTCCCCCACCTCTGGCTGTCCCCTCCTCAGGGAAGAAAGAAGAGATTCAATACGCAACCCTCAAATTTCATAAGATAAAGCCTGGGAGCCCTCAGGAACAGGAGGGCGGCACTGAAAATGAATACTCGGAGATCTTGATGTGAAAGTGGGAACTGCGGAGAATTAAAAGCCCTCTGGGTGGCCCTAGCCGGTTTGGCTCAGCAGATAGAGCATCGGCCTGCGGACTGAAGGGTCCCAGGTTGAATTCCAGTCAAGGGCCCATGCCCGGGTTGTGGGCTCAATTCTCAGCAGGGGGTGTGCAGGAGGCAGCCGATCCATGATTCTCTCTCATCATTGATGTTTCTATCTCTCTCTCCCTCTCCCTCTCTTTTCCTCTCTGAAATCAATAAAGCAAAATAAAAAGCCTGAAACTAAAAAACAAAACAAAACAAAAAAACCCTCTGGTTGATGAGTTAAAAGTATGGTGGAAAGAACACTGGCTTTGGAACCAAAGAGTTGTGAGTTCAAATCCACACTCCGCCCCTTTCCTGAGTAAAGTGACAGACGAGTCCCTGCCTCCCTGTGCCTCCGTTTCCTGCCCCGGGGGACCAGCGGAGAAGCCCCACCTGAAAGTTTGTGGTGAGAATTCTGGGAGTGAAAGCCTATCAGAGCACCTGGCTCAATGTGCGGGCTGCACACGTGCTGGGTCCCTGGGCTTTGCACGGAAAGGTCCTACCGGGAATTTCTCCTGAACCCTGGAGGGGACCAGCACCAGTCCTTGCACCCTGAGGTTCCTCGTCCTGGAAGGTCTCACCCAGCCTGTATCTGCTTCTGTCTTTGAAAGTGGAGCTCAAGGGGTGCTTTTCAAGCAAGTGGATCGAGGTTTGGAAATGGTGACTCTTACACACGATATAAGTGGTTTCTATAACTGGGATCGTACAGCCTGTCCCCCGTGTCTGTTTTTCTTAAACTTGGCCTTGCATTTGTTGAGGATCCCACTGTGGGAGCGTATCATGGTTTGTGTGCCCATATTTTTCTACGGACGAACCTTTGGCTGGTTTCCAATTTGGGCGATGACGCATAAAGCTGCTGTGAGCATGTTTGTACCTGACTGTTTCAAGGTTTGTTTTCGTTTCTCTCAAGTGTTGGGGGGGGGGGGCAGGGCCAAGAGGAGAGTCACATGTTGGGAGCGGGAGGGTCTCTGGGACCTCCCCATAGGGACCGTCACCCAACAGGCAGCTAGATAGATGGGTGGCCTGGAGCTCAGGAGGAAGGTGGCGACGGGCGATGGACAGTGGGAAACATCGGGGTCCAATGATCCTGAGAATGAACACCTACTGATGTGGGTTGGATTGTGTCCTCAGCGCTAAGACCTGGAAATGGGATTTTATTTGGAGACTAGAGGCCCGGTGCATGAAATTCATGCACCGTGGGAAGGGGGGTTACCCTCAGTCCAGCCTGCACTCTCTCCAATCCAGGACCCCTCAGGGGATGTCTGACTGGCAGTTGGACATCTCTCTTGCAATCCGGGACTGCTGGCTCCTAACTGCTCACTTGCCTGCCTGCTGGATCGCCCCTAACCACTCTCCCCTGCCAGCCTGATCGCCCCTAACTGCCTCTGCCTTGGCCCCCTGCCACCATGGCTTTGTCCGGAAGGATGTCCGGAAGATGTGCTGTCTAATTAGCATATTACCCTCTTATTAGTATAGATAGGGTCTTTGCAGATGCAATCAAGTTATTATGAGGTCCGACTGGATTAGATGAGAGCCTAAATCCAGCGAACAATGTGCCCCCCCTCCCCCAAACACACACACAAAGAAGGGAATTTGGACACAGAGACAGAGGTAGGAGAAAGCCCACGTGACGATGGAGGCCGAGATTGGAGTGGTGATGCTGCAGAGCCAGGAAGGCTGAGGACTCTTCCCGGGAGCCTCCCAGGGGAGTGTGGCCCCTGCTGAAGCCTTGATGTGGGTCTTCCAGCCTCCAGGCCTGTGAGAGAACACGTTTCCATGGTTTCAAGCCACCCAGCAGCCCTAGGAAACCAGTGCATTTGCTCAGGGCCTCCATCTATCCTGTCTCACTCAGTCCTCACCGTAATGCCTGAGGGGTCAGTGCTGTCCCCAGGCACAGAGGAGGCACCGGCGAGCTGCTCGAGGCCACAAGGTGGTCTTCAGCCCTGGGTCCTGGGGGATTGCCTTGGGTCCAGGCTTTGTTTTAAGTCTGTGAACATTCCAACAGCAGCTGCTAGACTGGCCGTCCACACCTCTATACATTCAGCCAGGGAGGAGTCTCTCTCTCTCTCTATCTCTCTATCTCTCTCTCTCTCTCTCTCTCCCTCCCTCCCTCCTTTCCCTCCTTCCTTCCTTCCTTCCTTCCTTCCTTCCTTCCTTCCTTCCTTCCTTCCTTCTTTGATTCTTTTTTTTTTTCTTAGAGAGAAAGGAAGGGAGAGGGAGAGAGAGAAGCATTGATGTGAGAGAGAAACATTAATTGGCTGCCTTCTGTGCACCCTCGGGTCAAGCCCACAACCCAGGCATGTGTCCTGGCCTGGAATCAAACTTACAACCTTTCAGATCACAGGATGCTGCCCAATCAACGGAGCCACACTGGCCAGGGCTCCTCCAAATTCCTTTCTTTCTTTCTTTCTTTCTTTCTTTCTTTCTTTCTTTCTTTCTTTCTTTCTTTCTTTCTTTCTCTTCTTTCTTTCTTTCTTTCTTTCTTTCTTTCTTTCTTTCTTTCTTTCTTTCTTTCTTTCTTTCTTTCTTTCTTTCTTTCTTTCTTCCTTCCTTCCTTCCTTCCTTCCTTCCTTCCTTCCTTCCTTCCTTCCTTCTTCTTTCTTTCTTTCTTTCTTTCTTTCTTTCTTTCTTTCTTTCTTTCTCTCTCTCTTTCTTTCTTTTCTTTCTTCCTTTCTTTTGTTGTAAGTGCCATAGGGATAAACAAATTTGTTTAGATACTTGTGGGCACATCCACAAAGACAGCTCAGAAAGCAAGTTCCAGAAATGGCATCACGGGACCTGAACTCACTTCATGCTGTTTTAACTTTATTGGTTATTTTATGATTATAAAAGCAATGTACACATTTTGTGAGGGAAAAAAAAACACCACTTTAGAATATACAGTGGCGTGTAAAGAAGGACACGAAGAGATAGCACTGCTCTTGGTTAACGTTTTCCACAATTTTCGTGCAGGTGTGTATACATGTAAAACTGGGAAACACACACATACATACTGTACATATTATCTGTCTTAATAAATTAATCTATACTTTTAAATGACGACGGTCCTGTCAGATGCTGCTTTGCATTACGCATTTCTAACTTGTCAGGGTGTGAGAGTTGTTCGCGCTTAGTAGGCACCTTTCCCCAGCGCGGTCCCTAACAGGTCACAGATTAGCTCAACAGGCGCTGTGCCCCATCTAAGCAATTCCCGGCTGCTGGGCGCTCATAGGCTGTGCCCACGAATGGGGACAGCGGTGATTATCATGATGCTGTTGCTGGTGCCATCGATGGTCCCCACCGGCAAGGCGAGTTGGGGCATCTTTGCAGCGTCTCTGACGGTCCGTGGCTTCAGGTTCCAAAGAGTGGGGACCTTAGAAGCACATTTGCTGGCGGGGAGGAGGCACTGAAATTAGAACACAGAACTCCCCGCAGGACCCGCCCCAGCCTGCAGCCCATTGGCCGGCTCTGATGGACACAGGCAGCAGCCAATGGCCATGCTGTCCGTGATGTCCCATCCCAGGTCTCAGGTGGGGCCTCCAGACCTTCTCCAGGAGCCTGCGTCTCCCCAGCTGCAATGTGACTGTGGTTGCTCCCTCTCTTCACGGGTCCCCTGTGAGTACCAGCCCCATAGCCAAGCCCGCCCCTGGGAGGACACTCGGCCCTTCTCCATCACCCTCCTACCCCCCTCACCTCCTTGCTCATCTGGTCTTGTCCTCCAGGTCTGAGGTGGACACTTATATAGCCCGGCTTGTCCTGTGGGGAGAAATCAGGGAAGAAGTCACATCTCGGGTCCATAGGAAACAGAGAGAAAGCAAGAGAGTCCTGGGTAGATGAGGAGGCAGCTTTGTCTTGCAGGCCCTCCCGGGCTAGAGCCCCCAGGAGCAGGAGGTGATGAATCTGGGGGCTAAACCTCTACACCAAGCATGTCAAACTCAAAGGCTAACATCGGCCAAATAAACAAGGTGTGTCTGTGGGGCCGCAAAAAAACAAAAGCTTCAATTTTCATAGAAACATAGGTTTACTTCGATAGAGACATGCTGAACACAAAGGGATGAAATGAATGAGTCGTGTTCACATAAAAAAACAGAACATTTTAATAAAAATTAATATTTTTTCTTGAACATTAACTTACCAGACACTGAACAAACTGCACAGATTAATAAGTGTAACGCAAATAAACCTATTTTTTCTTGTTCGAAAGCAAAATATTTCCTGTTGAGCACACCAAACAAGTCAGCCCAAGACTAATGACGTGGCCATCGGCTGCTAAAATATTTGCTGCTGGTATTAGTGGAGAGAAATGGTGCGCCTGCACGTAAGGCGAGTAAGGGAAATGAATGCAACACGATTATAGTCATCAGTCATTAGTGAACATTGTAGTTCGTTATTAATAATTATGTGTAACAGGATATTGTAAAAATTAAGTTACAAAATTTTTATTAAAACATTTCTTGTGGTTCGAGCCCACCCAGGGACGCCAAAAAAAACCCCCACAAAAAAAACCCCATTTCTTACATACCATTATATTGGCTGGGCTGCAAAAATATTCATTGTGGACTGCGAGTTTGACATGCTTGCTCTACACCAAGAGTCCTCAACATTTCCCATACTTTCTATGTTTCTGAGGCCCTAAGGTCACTGAAGGAAGATGGCATGGGGCAGGGGATGAATGGAGGGAAAAGAGGCTGAGCATATCTGGGGAAGGAGTTTGCACAACCTGGCCTAATGACTGATGATGACAATGATAGTGATGATGATTTATTTCATGCCTATTATATGCTAGGCACTACGGTAGATGATTTATAGAAATTATCTAGCCCTAGCTGGTTTGGCTCGGTGGATAGAGCATCGGCCTGTGGACTGAAGGGTCCCAGGTTTGATTACCAGTCAAGGGCACTTTCCTTGGTTGCAGGCCTGATCCCTGGCCCTAGTCAGGGCATGTGCAGGAGGCAACCAATCGAGATGTCTCTCTCACATCGATGTTTCTCTCTCTCTCTCTCTGTCTCTTCCCCTCCCTTCCACTCTCTAAAAATCAATGGAAAAAATATCCTTGGGTGAGGATTAACAACAACAACAAAGAAATTATCTTGAACCCTCCCAACAGTTACACAGTTAGATACTTTAACCCCATGTTGCAGGTGAAGAAACAGGAGTTCAAAGGGGGGATGTCACTTGCCTAAAGTCACACAGCAAGAAAATGAGGAAGAGAAGTCACTGGATAAAGCCCCACTGTTATTTTAGAGCCATGGCTGACTCGAAACCCTCCCCCTCTCCCACTGACTGGCTTCTGGTCCTTAAGACCTCTGTGTCTCCCTAGCCGGTTTGGCTCAGTGGATAGAGCGTCGGCCTGTGGACTGAAGGGTCCCAGCTTTGATTCTGGCCAAGGGCACATGCCTGGGTAGCGGGCGTGCTGGAGGCAGTCAACTGATGATTCTCTCTCATCATTGATGTTTCTCTCTCTCTCCCTCTCTCCCTTCCTCTCTGAAATCAATAAAAATATATATTAAAAAAAAACACCTGTGTGTTTGCCCCGTAGTGTCCCTGACAACCCAGTTCCTGGCTTGTCCGTTCCCCCTTCGCTCTGCCACCCCTACTCCAGGGGGTGCTGGCTTCTGAGTCCCAGACCCCAACCAGTGCCCCACCCTTGACCCTGAGTGACAGGTACCTGGTGGAGAAACGAGTGATGAGAAAGTAGATCAGGACTCCGCAGAGGTAGACTCCGCCCAGGACCGTCATCCCGATGAAGAACACCACCAAGGACCCCGAGAGGTAGAAACCCGTCCTGATCTCAGGGATGGTCCCTGAAAGGAGAGGATATGTGGGGGTCGGAACCCTCATTCAGTCATCCCTTCATGCACTCACACGCCTGTTCTCCAAAGATGTGTTAGGATCCACTGTGTGCAAAGCCCTGTTCCGGGCAGTAGGGATTCAACAGTGATCAGAACAAATGTTCTGCCCTCACGGGGCTGACATTGTAGCTGGGAAATTAAGCAAAGAGATGCCTCGTGTCACTGCAGGAGCAATGCGTGCTCTGGAGAAGAACAGACCCACGAAGGTGAGAGGGTGAGAGGGCGAGGGCGTGCTGGGGACACAGGGTCACGCACTTGCTGCACAGATGGCGCAAATATTCACTGAGCAGCAACCATATGCCTGCACCCTCTCACAATCCAGGACCCCTCGGGGGATGTCGGAGAGCTGGTTTCAGCCCCATCCCTGCAGGCCAGGCTGAGGGATCCCACCGGTGCACGAATTTGTGCACCGGGCCTCTAGTCTGATTAATAAATGCTCCTAAAGGATTCAACCTTGCCTCTGTGTATTGGCTTAGTGGCGACAGGCAGCCACGGACCCGTGTTGTGTCTGCTATCAAAGCCACACTTCAGATACCACGGCCATGGCAAACATCTCCTTTCTCTGCACCACTTCCCTTCCGTCTTCCCACTTCTTCATTGCAGAGGCAGCTCGGGGAGGAGAGGTTGGGGGGGGAGGGGATGGTTGAGGGCAAGGGCTGTGTGGTCAGACTGCCAGGGTTTGAATCCTGCTCCTTGGCTGACTAGAACTGGAACCTTGAGTAAAGCACCCCAGCTCCACGAGCCTCGGTTTTCTTGCCTGTACAATGGAGGCGATGCGCACAACAGGCACCTACTCTGGAGGGAGTCTGTGAGGCTCACCCAGGTTGGAAGGGTGGCTGGCACAGAGTGTGTGCTCAGCCAATGTCCACTGATCCTTATCTTCCTGAAATTCACATCAACTCGGGTCTACCCCAGCCAGTTTGGCTCAGTGGATAGGGCATCAGCCTACGGACTGAAGGGTCCCAGGTTCAATTCCGGTCAAGGGCACATGCCTGGGTTGCGGGCTTGATCCCCAGTAGGGGGAGTGTAGGAGGCAGCCAATCAATGATTCTCTCTCATCATTGATGTTTCTATCTCTCTCTCTCCCTCTTCCTTCCTCTCTGAAATAAATACAAATGCATCCTATATAATAAAAGCCTAATATGCTAAGTGTCTGGTCGTCCGGTCATCCGTTCAACCAATCAAAGTGTAATATGCTAATGATATGCTAAGGCCACTCAACCTCTCACTATGATGTGCACTGACCACCAGGGGGCAGACACTTCGACTGGTAGGTTAGCTTGCTGCTGGGGTCCGGCTGATCAGGACTGAGCGAGACGGGCCAGACATACCTTGGAGCCCTCCCGTGGTCCCTCTCCAGCTGGCCAACCTCCTGCATTTCTCCCTGGCCCCAATTGTGCACTGATGGGGTCCCCGAGCCTGGCCTGTGCCTGCTTGCAATCCGGGACCCCTCAAGGGATGTTGGAGAGCTGGTTTTGGCCTAATCCTGCAGGCCAGGCTGAGGTACCCCACTGGTGCACGAATTCATGCACTGGGCCTCTAGTTAAAAAATAAAACAAAGAAAAAAGAAAAAGAAAAACTTGGATCTGAGGACTCTGGGGGCTTCCTAGAGGAGGCAGCTTTGGGTTCTGACCTCAGAGGATGGGAGGACGTCACCCAACTGTCGGGAGCAGGGTCTGGCCAGGTGGCGATGGCACACTTGAGGATGGGCACTCGCTAGGCAAAGGCCTGGGGGTGGGAAGACGTGGAGTGTGTGAGCCCCGGAGGGGTAGCGGCTGCACTTACGGGGCCTCTGGATCCGGACGTTCCTGTAGAAGCTCAGCCCTGCTACTGGGTTCTCCACGATGCACCTGTACCTGCCCATCTGCTCCCAGGTCAGACTTGGGAAGTTGAGGCTCGCCGCCGAGCTCAGGAAGGAGCCGTTGTGGATCCAGCGGTACGTGGGCCCCGGGGAGGAGGTGGAGGTGCAGTCCAGCTGCACCGCAGAGCCGACCTCAGCGGCCAGGACGCTGCTGAAGTTGGAGGGCTTAGTCCTCAGCAGCACGCTGTCGGGTCCATCTGCGGAGACAGGGGCTAAGTGTCTGACCCCCTGGGGTCCTGTCTCCTTCTCTCAGTCCACACAAAGTCCTCCCCCAGCTGGAGGTACTCCACTCTGCACCCTTAGCAGGCCCCTAGACCTGCCCCCAGGCAAGGCAGCCGGGCCAACAACAACAACAATAATAATGTCTTCCGTGATGAAGCATGTACTATATGGGCCAGTCCTGTGGTAGCCCTTTACATCCTCATAAAATAGATGTAGCCCGGCTGGCGTGGCTCAGTGGTTGAGTGTCAACCTATGAACCAGGAGGTCACAATTCAGTTCTGGTCAAGGGCATATGCCTGGGCTGCAGGCTCAGTCCCCAGTAGGGAGGGTACAGGAGGCAGCCAATCAATGATTCTCTCATCATTGATGTTTCTATCTCTCTCTCCCTCTTCCTTCCTCTCTGAAAGCAATAAAAATATTTTTTAAAACAACAACAACAACTAAACAAACAAATAAATAAGAAAAAAGGTGTAGAGTAGAAACAGACACACCATGCCCTCTGCATACCAAGCACCACTCTAAATACTTTACACAGTCACTTCATTCCCAGGGCAACCCATGGGATGGATCCATTTTATGGATGAGGAAGATGAGGCTCAGAGGAGAGGACTGGGGATTTAACAGTCTTCTATTGACCTACAAAAAGGTTAAGCAAGTCCCCCTATGGCCCTCGGGGGCGGGGGGCATTAGCCCTGAGTAGCTATAACCCCTGGCACCTAGGGCCTAGGGTCTGGTTCAAACCTCCAACTAGTAAACAGTGAATGAAGGTCGGAAATTGTCTTCTCCATGAAGATCCAGAGCTGGGGTTTGAACCCAGATCCAGCTGGACTGCAGGCTGGCTCAGGATGCTATTACCTTTCTCCGGTTCTGCCCGTCTTACCCAGACGCCCCTGGAAGGCCCAGAGCTCAGCCCTGGCGCCACACCCATGACCCCCCCAGAACACTTACAGAACACCTTCGGAAAGATGATGTCACTTTTCTGAGGAAACCCTAAGACGTTCTCTATGCCACACCGAATCATGAAGTCATAGCGGCTGAGCTGGTGGAGGATGAGGGTCTTGCGGTCTGGCGAAATCGTCATCTGCTCATTGCTGGACACATTTAAGGCATTCACATACCACTGGATTCTGGTGGCGTCGGTGACATTGGTGTGGCAGAAGACGACCATGGGATCCCTGTACTCCACCACGGAAGTGGTGTTGGCCGAGATGCCGGGATCGTCTTCCCACTCTGTGTGAAGAGGGGACGATTAGAGATGGGGTCTGCCTCCCCAAGCCCTGCTTTGTCTCCGAGGGGGAGGGGGTGTAAGGGTATGTTGGGGAGAAAGCAAGAGTTGTAAAATTGGGGCGGGGGAGTGTCTGGGGTCTTGGCAGGAGAGCACCCCTGAAACTAAGAGGGACAGAAAAGTAGGGAGTGGGCGCAAGGCGGCCAAGATAGGGGTGCCTGCCTGGGCCCATCATCCTCTGCACTGAGCCTTTGCTGTGGCATCCCCTGCAATCATGGCCAGTTCTTGGCATAAGCATGTGACCGAAGTGTTGTTTCTGAACCCCCAAATCGGGACATCCCCACCTGGAGAGCCGTGAGTAGAATTCACAGGGAGAGGTGGTATTTGGACTCCCCGTCATAGTTGCTCTGAGTCCCATTTCTTTTACCAGTGCTCCCTCCAACTTTATGACAGACCACAGGTGTTCATGCTACTCCCATTCTACAGGTGAGAAGGCTGAGGGTCACAGAGGGAAGACAAATTCCCAAGGCCATGCAATATATACAGCTGGGACCTGTGACTAACGTATAGAATATAGTGAAGGTGATGGCTGTCACGCCCATCATAAACCTTGTGTCCTATAAGGCTGCCTAGTAGCCGAACGAGAGAGAGAGAGAGAGAGAGAGAGAGAGAGAGAGAGAGTTTGGCTGACCTTGAGGGAGCAAACAACCAAGACGTGAAACGCCTTTGTACTGAGCCACACTCGAGAACACAGCCATGGGGCCAGCATTTATGAGCCGACATTTATGAGGCTAGGACTTAGCGAAGCCACGCCTGAAATCGTTTTCATATATATATATATATTTATTGATTTCAGAGAGGAAGGGAGAGAGACAGAGATAGAAACATCAATGATGAGAGAGAATTATTGATCGGCTTCCTCCTGCACGTTCCCTACTGGGAGGGTCTGGGGCAGGGGGCGGGTCCACAACCCGGGCATGTGCCCTTGACCGGAATCGAGCCTGAGACTCTTTAGTCTTCAGGCCAACAGTCTATCCCAACCGTGGGCAAACTACGGCCAGCAGGCCGGATCCGGCCCGTTTGAAATGAATAAAACTAAAAAAAAAAAAAAGACCGTACCCTTTTATGTAATGATGTTTACTTTGAATTTATATTAGTTCACACAAACACTCCATCCATGCTTTTGT